TAACAAGTTTTTGTAAATACAGGCATTTAAGATAGTCTCCACCAGTAGGAAGAAAAGTCATCCCAAATGGTCAGTGCTTAGCACTAAACTAAAACAGCAGTCATGCTTGACTGCAGTAGCACACAGGTAACCTGTCATTCAAGTACAGCCTTAAATTAATATTTCTGTGTTTTAAGAGGCTGTTTCTATCATATCCATTTTTCCTAATTTATCTTCCTGTACTGTCTGCAGTTTGTTGTGTTGATTTTGCAAACATTCCTGAGAGGACCAAGGGCCTAGTAATGAGTGACTAGTTTGTCAGTGTTTATTCTCATGTAGCTTGTTTCTTTACTGCTGCTGGTTTTTGGAGTTGTTTTCTCTTTTGTTTTGCTAGTCACTCATTTTTGTGTGATTTATCATGGCTGGTTTCATCCGCCTACTGCCCACAACAGTTTTTACTCTCTTGCAATCAAATCTGACTGTGAGGCCATGCCACGCTTACGCAGGAGTTTCCAAGCCTGCAACTACCATGCAAATGTAATCCGCACTGGTGCACCAGACAAGGATTCAAGACATACGTGATGTAGTCATATGGTGGCCATTGGAAAGCCCGCAGTGGACTTCTGGCACAGCTCAGACAGACAGACTATGCACGAGGAGCTGGAGTTTCAGCCCTGGGTGTGAGATATCACACAGCAACAGAAAATCACATTAGTGTCGTGACTGCTCTGTTGTAACTTGGATTTCCTGCTGTAAAATATGCTTCTCAGTCTATAGGGACACTTCCCCTCTTGTCTCCTTAAATATTTTGAAAAGATGCAGTGCCATTTCTCTGGTTCCCTCAAGCTTTTCTGTCTCGTGGCTAGCCATTTGACCCTCAGCCTCATAAGCGTTTCTTCCTCGCCCAGCCCTCTCCTGCCAGACCTGCAGGGCAGACCTTGTCTGTGCACCATAGGGGTATTCCTCCTGCTGCAAATGTACGTCTTGGTCAGTTTAATGCAGTGCCAGCACCTCTAAGGACTGCCAGGGTTGGAGGTGTCACCCCAAGGTGTTATCTGTCCAGGCAACAGTGCTCTTCAGCCACCCAAGGACATACCATTAGCAATTTTATTCATGCATGATGGGCTTTCCTAGTGCCATGGCATGACAATGACATATCCACAAAGATGAGCAGATTTCACAGAATCACAGAATCTCCTGGATTGGAAAAGACCTGCAAGGTCATCTAGTCCAATCATTAACCTAACACTGACAAGCCCACCACTAACCCATGTCCCTGAGCACTATATCTACGCGACACTTAAATACCTCCAGGGTTGGGGACTCCACCGCTGCCTTGGGTGACGCGTTCCAATGCCTGATGTCCTTTTCAGTAAAGAAATTCATCCTAATATCCAATCTAAACTTCCCCTGGTGCAACTTGAAGCCATTTCCTCTTGTTCTATCACCTATTACTTGACAGAACAGGTCAACTCCCACCTCTCTGCAACCTCCTATTTGATTCACTGAATGCAATGGATCTGCTTTATATGTCATTGTAACATGGGTTTGACCGAGTTTGTAAATTGGTAAGATGCACCTGAAAATTACTGACACTGTACTTTGGGCTGCTCTCAGTTCTGTTCCTGAGCAGAAAAATACATCAAGATTTTGGTGTATGCTTAAGGCTTTTTAGTATATTGCAGCAGGAAGCTTTCGGATGCCATTGTTTTATTAGATATGATATTTTGAGATCTTCATTCTTGGTGAAATCAATGCACAACAGATTTCTGTAAAGGGAAGAATTTAACCTCTTAGCTTAGCATCACTTTACTTTGACAAATATTCCAAGTAAGAAGTAGAAAAAAATAAATTTTAAGCTTTTTTTTCCTTCCAGGGAAAGAATTCCATGTTTAACAGATGATGTTTCCTAAATCTGAATTAATAGGAGCCTGACATTTTTATGTTCCTTGCATTGTACCTAACTCAAACATGCCTTTACGGTGAGTGATGCTTTCCAGTATTTTCCAGGGTACTGACAGTTAAATAACAAGTGAGAAAACCCAAGGCATTGTTTGTGTCACCATTTGCAAGCACTTAACTTAATAAGCCGCCGGAGCCATTAGCATGGTGGGAAGTTTTGCTAGGAAAATCCCAGGGGCTAAAGTAAAACAAAACCCACTAGACTGAATGGGGCTGGCTTCAATGGCTCTTACTTCCCAATAACAAATGAGCCGTCTGTTCAGAAGCTTGAGGCTACTAGCCCTGTTTGCACAAAGGCAAGGTCCTGGATGCTGTGTGCTCTTCTGCTGCCACCACTGCTGCGTGGAGGAAACAGGTTGGAAAGTCAGCCTGGTCTGTGGCTGGGTGCCAGGGCAGTGGAATGGCCACGTTACCCAAGCAGGTCTGGAGCTGGGGAGCATTGGTTTCTTCTCCTCTTGACACCTTGGCTGCCAGCACGTCATTGACCCAGTTCCAGGCCCAGCATGAGCAGCAGGGTGGCGACTTGCAGAATAATGACTTCCATTCTCTTTCAGAGCTGGGTGGGAAGGTGACCCTTTGTTTTTATCTTTTTTCAGTGTAGCGTGAGCTGCACAGAGCATTTAGTTGTTTGCTGAACCTCAATCCGCTTTTTCTTGAGTGCAACCATGTCAGGCCTCTGCATGGAGGTTGTTGGACCTATTTGAGATACTGAGGAGCCCAGAGAGGCTCAGAAACTCCACCTAAGACCAGTGTTCAGTGCTGTGGGCTGCATGTGGAATTTTGTCAAAGACTTTGGGGCTTTCTCAGGAGCAAATGCCTACCTGCATCACCATACCACTTCTTGTTGCTGCTTTTAACATACCACAAAATGATAGCAACGGAATGTTCTGTTTGACATATGTAGTTTCTCAACAGCAGATTTAAAAACCACCAACAACAACAAAATTGTTGGAAAATTGGAAGTTTTCAATTGCAACTTTGAACAACGCTAGGAGAGCTTTCCTGTCAGCTTCATTGTTCCCACGTTGGACTTTTCTGCTACAGGGCTAGTGAGGATGCTGTCATCGTCTTTTGTCCTTGACTGTAGATCCCATGATTTGCAGTGTTCCCATCTCTGATGTTGTTCTCCCGAGGCAGCCTGTAATGAAGAAAATACATGCTCAAACAGAAACAAAGTCCACTACTGCCTTACTAGCTAGGAGGTTGAACACAACACACACAGTTTCAGCAGTGAGTGGTTGAATTTGAAAGATTCTCTTGGTTTCTGCAGGAACCAGCTCAGCAGAGCTGCTCCATGCAGAGGGCAGCCTCTGCATCAAGCCAGACAATCCTACACATAAAAAGATGCCATTTTCTACTGTTCTGGCAACAGGTACAAGGAAGGGACAAAAGACTGTAGTCCTTTGCATGGGCTTCAAGTACTCTTTTCTAGGACTACTGGGATCTGAAAGAGCTGCAGACAAAAGCTATGAAGGGGATTCATGTGTTTGATGCCACCTCGGCGTGGGAGAGTTTCATCCCTATTCTGTAAAATTGCTGCCAGCCCCTAACAAAGTCATTTGGCTAAAGACATTGGTGCTTTGTACTGGCAGCTGGCAGTTCGCCTCCCAGCTTCTTTCCCTTTGCGAGCTTTGTTGGTCAGCAAAGTGATAGGCATTGAGCAGGACTGTGGCACCATCAGTTGTAAGCAAGCTCAGTTTAGGGATGCTTTTTTTAGTACGTAGGAAGCCTGTGTATGGTTGCCTGCTTGGCAACCAATGTCTGTAGCCTGGCACACCCTGCGTGTTTGCAGAGCCCTTTGGAAACTGTTGTTCTGTTTGATCTAGATGGGTTTGGTATGCAAACAGAAAGGTGTCTGCACAGCTTACAGCCAACATTGCCCAAGCAGGAAATAGCTGGCACCTTCTTGGCAGGCATGGCAGAAAGCTTGCGAGCTGCGGAGACTGACTGTAGTCAACTGCTGGACCTGCAGAAAGCATCACTGCAGAAAAAAAATCCGAAGGCAATATGCTAACAAATAAATACCACAGGGACAGGAGAACCTGTTTGAAAAGAGCACTCACTGGGTAGTGCTGGGAAGCCCTTGTGGCTGCTGTTTAGCCTTGTGCTAAAACTGCCCGCTGATGATAAGACCTTGGTTTCCACCTCAGCCAAGTATGTCAGCCTGGAAAATCTCAGGAGCACCATCCTCGTTCTGACATGATTGGTGTGTAAGGGTTTCTCCAGTGCTGATTATATTTAAAACATATTTAACCATGCGAGGAGTTAGCATCTTCTTTTAACTCGGTACTCCCAATAAAGTGCAAGGCGTTTGATGTCATTTCTACATTGAACTCCAAATTTTGTTCTGGGCTTTATCACCCTCAGAGCTTTGCAAAGCAGAGAAAGGAGGGGTAAGCATTTTAATCAGGGTAAGGCTCTTTGGCATTTACCCTATTGAAGCCTGAGGAGCCTCTGAGTTTCTGTTGAATAGAGCCCTAAGAAAAGAAGTAGATCTGTTGAAGGATGACATTTCAGTGCAAGAAGGATGTGTGTTTAGGACTTTCCATTACATAATGGGGCTGAAATGGATTAACAAGACCCAGGCTTTCTTTTTCTTGAGAATTGCTGCCTGCATCACTCTTTTTCTATTACTGATGCTTCAGTCACAGCACTCACAGAAAGGTTTTCTTTGTTGTTATTAGTTTGAGAAGTAAATTGCAGCATTGTTTCTCCTGATCAAGAGATTGATTAGTCAGAGGTCTAGCTGAAGGGAAAAAATGTTCCTCATTATCAACTTTAAATGCAAATGTATTTGCCAAGCAGAGAACGTTTCAAATGGTGAGTGTGGGGGGGAATGCCTTGCTCTTTTGATGTGCTGCCCATAATCATTTACAGATCTTTGAAAGACGGCCCTCTCATCAGGTCAGTGAAGAAATAGTGTGGGAACGATACTCTTGAAAGAGAAAATTAAACGTTGCCACTTCCAGTTGGATGGTTCTGATAGTGTCTTGATGAGTAATGATGCATTAGTATATTTGTGGATTTTGGTGTGTTTTGTCTGCTCTTTCTCTTCCTAGGTGCTTTCATAATCTGCTGGACCCCAGGATTAGTCTTGCTGCTCCTTGATGTTTGCTGTCCCCAGTGCAACGTCCTGGCCTATGAAAAATTCTTCCTGCTCCTGGCAGAGTTCAACTCCGCCATGAACCCCATCATCTACTCCTACCGGGACAAGGAGATGAGCGCAACCTTCAAGCAGATCCTCTGTTGCCAGCGCAGTGAGAATGCCAACGGCCCCACCGAAGGCTCAGACCGATCGGCGTCCTCACTCAACCATACCATCTTGGCTGGCGTCCACAGCAACGACCACTCAGTGGTGTAAAACCGCAGCCAGCCGCGTGGCCGACGAAGGGCAGCGGGCTACGCCGCAGAGCGGGGTGGGTGCTTGGCCCCAGGGAAGGTAACCCACTCACAAGGTTTTCTCAAACACTAATGGACTACAAGTGCTTCTTTTCCAGGGAGCCCGACACACCGGCGCGGTCCACCCCGTCTGCAGGACTGGCAGTGGTGCAAGGCCTTTGATTTCTACTTTCAAAAAGTAGAAGGCAGATGCCTTGCTGCAGAGGTCATTGGTAGCCCATGGAAAGCCTCTTTGGGACTTCGTCGGACTTCGCTGCGTCTTGGTGCCAGTCTGAATCAACTCTGATTAATTAAGCTTATACCTGCTTCACTGCATTTACATGTAGCCACTTAGTCTTTTTAAAAAGGGAGTAAAGGGGATAAAAGTATGCCTATCATTTAATAGACATGTAATATTTATCACCATCAGCATGCTTGTGATGAACATTTTCTGTGCAGGGAGTAAAACTGTGCTCTAGTCTTCATATCCTTAGCCACACTACCATAACTACAGTAAAAACAAAAGTATTTTTTTCTAATACAGGCAACAGGAAGATGATGGAAACTGTCTCTTCTTACCTTCATTACTGGTGTTAGAGAGCATGCATGTTCTGTGTGTATGCAGATTGTTTTAATTATGAGAAAAAAAAAGCTCATTGTAATGTCTGCAGGAAAGTAGAAAAGCATAGACTGTATTCCCGTGTTTGTTTAGATTATGAAATAAACAATACTCTAGTCACAAGGTATTTAACGTTCTTCTTTGAAGTGCGGTATGAGATGTGTAACATGAGGGGTCCCAAGTTTTTCATAGGCAACTTCTTAAAGCAGGACACATCCTTAAGGCTCTTAAAGGGCTACGGTCAGGTTGGTAGATTTTTTTAAAAAATGTATTTATGGCATTGGAAGGCTTTTCTTGTTCATGGCAGAAAGCAAAGGGATTTTTAACGTGAAAAAAGGTATATATTTTTATGGAACCTTTCTTGTCATTGAAAACAAAAAACCCTCTGCGTTTTTGCACTAAGAAATATTTGTAGGGTATCTTTTAAATGATGTATGCTTCATTTTGAAAGCAGTAGGCTACTAAAAACCAAGGTACAGTTTTATTTTGTAAAGTCAAGACAGGACGTGTAGCAGTCTATTGCAAATGACTGGACTGGGTTACATATAATAGCCACATGTGCACATTGTTAGGAATAGCTAAGCTAACAGATTTTTTCATATATGGCTGTTTCAAAGAGAAATGCCACTCATGTGAATCTCAGTCACTGAGAATCAGTGACGTTAATCAAAACTCCTTGACAGTGATAAACGTGAGCAAAGATGGGATCTTGCTGATAAAAAACTTGGGACCTTTCTTTGAGAAACTGTGTGTTCTCCTAGTAATGTAAAGTATATCAACAGTAAATTCCTGGGGCCATTTTCCTCCTTGTAATTTGCCACTATAACAAAAAAAAAAAAAAGAAAGAAAAATGAAAAACAACAAAAAAAAAATCAGAGGTGTATCCATCAATGTAACATACTGGAATGTAACATAAGGGACAATATTCTCCCATTTGCACAGAGAAGAAATGGAGGGGAGAGGGTTAGCCCAACAAAAAACAGAGGGTTTATCATCTCTTGGTTGGAAAAGATGCTTGGATTTTATACTTCCAAGCATAAAATTGCTTGGAAAAGGCAGTTCCTTGCTGAGGGAGGGAAAAGCAGCAAGTGAGCAAAACGTGTCTCCACTGAATAAAGTCAGAGTTTTGCCACTGCTTTCATTAAAACTGAAATTCACCTGTACTGTCAAGCCAAATTTGCGTGGACACTGTGGAAGATGGGAGTGGGCAGAGGGGATAAATGCAGTGTTATCTGCCAGTTGACCAAGGTATTGAATGTTGCACTTGCTTTGGACAAAACAGGTCTTTTTTCTGACTGTGTTTGAGAGCAAGTGAACATGAAGGTTGATTGTTTTTTATCCACATAACTGTACTGAGCAGGAAAACAACAGGCTGTGTGAACTTTTTCATTTAAAAGCACCTGATTGCTAAGCCACTCATAAATATTTCTTAGTGCCCGCGTGATGTTTGAGCTAGTGCAGGTAAACAGAAGACTGGAGAGGGTAAGAGTGCCTCCAAAACCAGGGGACATCTGACTGAAAAAGAATTTCCTTTTCTCAAGAGTGCTTGGAGTTGCTTTCTATCCTGGACCCAAGGAGAGCACTTTTTCCTGTCCCCAGCTTCCCCACAAAAGAAGGACATCATAGACGCTTTATTCTGGGGAGGAGTTACCCTTTCCAAGTGTCCTTTTCACTGCTGTTTAATGCTCTTTATTGAATGTCTCCTGCGTAGGGTGGGAGGATGTCAAGAAATAGCAGCAAATCGTTCACCCCAGTTTACCATGCTGAAAGTGTGGTGGTTTTGGAGAAGTTGCAGGTGAATTATTTCAAAGCAGGGGTGCAATCCCTCGTGACACACAGATGGGTCCAGAGCCCCCTTGTGAAGACAGACGCCCAAGGAGGCTTTTCTTTCCTCATTGTAATTGTGACAGGTGGCAGTTGCTGCCCAGATACAATTGATCAGCCCTTCTCCAAGAAGGCACTCAACAACTCAAGAAGCAGGACCTTTAGAACTCTTAACAGCAGTTAAATTTCAGTCTTGAGGCAGATTAATCTGGGAGCAGTTCTGGCAGCAGGCATTTTTTTCTTCTAAAAGGTGAAATGCAGTCCTTTAGATCAAAGGCAACAGGATGCAAATGTTGCTTGTATGATTCCACTAGAGGAACTCACTGAGCATGTGGCTGCTATTTAAAAAATTAATTAGTGCTTTGTTTTATTGACATGATCTCCCTATATCCTTGAGAAACCTGATCTGTGGATGGAGTGTTTCTTTGCAAGCTAATGAAATTAAAGCTGTTGTGAGCAAAGAGAATAAAAACAAGAGCTTGGAATAGAAGGATTCATTTGCTCTCTTGTTTAGAGTGGTTCCCATGCCACTTGGTTTCGTCTCAGATTTTTTTAAACTTTTGCTTCTCAGTTCAAATTTTCCAGCTTCATTGTGCAGTTGTAGAACTCACTTCTGCTATGTGAAAACATGGTGCAAAGTACTTAGGGGAAAAAAAATTGCTCCACTTATTTTTACTTATCTCAAATCCTTCAAAAGGTTTTAGAAGACTTCTTAAAATACCAACGATCCTCCCACAGTCATTAAAATTCTTCTGTTGCTGGCTGCCTCTGGTCCAAGTAAATCCTCTTGAAGTTCAAATGTAATGATGTTTGTTTCAGCAATTGTAGCGGTGGGGAGTTGTGTATTAAAAGGAATATGGTTAATGAAATCCTTTGCAGGTCAAAGAAAATGTGGTTTTCCTACTCTGTTTTTTCAGTGGCAGCAAAAGCCTGAAAACGAATTGAAAAGATTGCTTTTGAGTGAAGGATTATTAAGTAAAATTTTAACTCCTGGTTGCTATCACATTTAGAGAGACTGGGTGACCCATCAGTCCCCAGACCTGTTAATCACAGCATTTACATGAAAAGTTGAAAATATATTCTGTATTTGACACACATTGCATTTCCTGTCAACCCGTTTTTTGTTTCATGTTCTCTGAGATCTCCAGGTAGCTTCAGGCTGGCTGCTAACTGGGATGCTCAAAGCTGGACAAATAGCTGGCACAAGGAGAAAGGACAGACCAATTAAGAGCTTTTTCAGTGATTCCTAAAACCAAGCACACCTGTCTGTCCATTGGGCACCACTGACTGCGATTTTTAATAGTTGCCCTGAAATCCACCATCGTTTTTTTAACTCTGTCTTTCCCAACTAGTCACAGCTGTGACTTTAACAAGCGGGCAGCAAAGGCTTGGCGAAGGTCACAGTGAAAAAGAAAGGGCATGCTATGTTCACGGTGCAAACTAAGCCTGGGTAACTTGGGTGTCAAAAAGGAAAGGACACATTTTTATGTTGAGTATCTTAGTTACTCCAAAGTAACTTTTCAATATCAGCATAACTTTCTCTTGGTATGGCATTGCACTGAGAGGAAACTTTTCAGGTTACTCCCAGGCGTATGTCTTTTGGTCCGTACCACCGTGGTGGTCATGGGGGGTTGGCCATGGCCAGTCAGGTTCCCAGGAGCAATCTCTCATGGAAAACTCAGGTAGGGTCTGCTTCTGAAGCAGCTTTCGCAGCTTCTCCTGACCTCTGCGTTACCCCAGAAGTATGCTACCAGATACCAGGCTTAAATACTTTAAAGCCAGTTGGGGTTCCTCTCTGCAATGCTGCCACCACCAGCTCAGACTGTTCTCATTGCAGTAGGTGTCCACAGATTAAAACCACGCTGCTTTGTCTGTAAAAGAAATAAAAGCCCACCCAGCAGATTGTTCTCCCCAAGTGGGATTAAAGAAGACACCACCATCTGAAGAGGCTTTGATGCAAACATCCGTAGTCTTTCAGTCACCGTGAATCGGGGTCATGCAAAGCAGAGCTGGCAAAGGCATTTCTCCAGGGCATCGTCCCCACCCCATGCCGAAGCGTGATCCCATCCCCATTGTACCTGTCGTTCTTTTGGATCCCTCCTGACCATGAGACAGGATGGTGCTGGCAGAGGTCAGCCTTAGCAGACTCTCCTTTTTCCACCTGCTGCAGAAATAATATAACCCAAATACAGGCTTTTCCTTTCTGGTCCTCTTAAGGGCTTTTGTGTTGAGCAATTTGCAATTACAAGGCTACCTATCTCGTCCTTTCTGATGAGTTCTTGCTGTTAGCAATCAGTCTGTGCTATACGCTGATGTCTGTATGGAGACGCTTTGCAACTGCAATCTCATTTGTTGAGAAAGGCCGCTTCAAATAGGCAGATAGCTTAAAGAGTATTAACTCTCACACCTGTCCAGCCATGCCTCCTCAAGAAAAGGTCTCCTTTTATTTCCTCCCATTTTCTTCTCTTAGAGGATTTTCCAATAAGTTATTCACCCAGCTCCAGTTTTATAAGTCTATCAAAAAGAAAAAAAAAAGGTTG